TATATATATATATGTGTGTGTATACACACTCGTATCTATATATCTATATATTATATATAGAAAAATTTCCGAATGCATGCAAGTTGCCTAATTCTCAACTTTTTGTTTCATTATCTATTTAATATAAGTAATACTTACAGGGGAACACCCCTGATGGTGGGGGGGGATTTTTATGCGCTTTTTATAGGCTGTTCTTGAGCGAAGAAAAAAGCGGTACATATCCAGTCGTTTTAGCCATTGACTCATAATTTCGAAGAAATTGATTTTTTAAATAATTATTGTAACAATTTGAAAAACGTGCTAATGAAAGTATACGTATAACTGAAAATATCAGTATCTTTATAAATTTCATTTTAATTTGATGTTATTAGTTTTAATTACTTTTTGATTGTAATAAAATTTCATGGAATTACATATTAGTATTATAGATAATTAAACACTCATTTAGAGAATATTTATTATTATCATCGTTATCATTGTCGTTATTCATATGAACGCATAAATAAAATTGTAATGAAAACTTATATTTCTGATGAAATTAGAAATTAAAAATTATGATTTAAAACAAGTAAGTCAAATGTTTATAATCTTCTTTTGATTAACATTAAATCGATTTATTAATAATAATAGAAAACTAATCATTTAATAAAAAACTAATTGTGTTTTATAGACATATATTATACGGGATGATCATAAAAACAAGAAAAACATAAATATTTATTGCATTGTGAACATTTTATGAATGAATTTTAGAATGAATTTTAGAATGAAAACAAAATTGATTTCTGAAAGAAGTTATTTCCATAATATGTCAATCTAATCTTTTCGCCAGATAATAGAAAAAGTTATTGTGTCTGCAACAAAAATTCATTTGTAAGATGTTTATAATGCAATAAATATTTATGTTTTTCTTGTTTTTATGATCTATATCATCCCAATGTATGTTTACAAAACACGATTAGTTTTTTATTATTAATAAATTAATTAATGTTAATCAAAAAAAGATTACAAAAAAGATTACGACTTATTTGTTCTTAATTATAATTTCCAATTTCTAATTTCATCAGAAACTATAACAGTTTTTATTACAATCTTATTTATGCATTCATGTGAATAACAATAATGACGACGATAACGATGACAATAATAAATATCCAATGAGTGTTTAATTATTGTGTAATACTAATATGTAATTTTATGAAATTTCATTACAAAAGTAATTAAAACTAATAACATTAAATTAAAATGAAATTTATAAAGATGCTAATATTTTCATTTATACAATACGTTTTTTAAATTACTACAATAAATTACTTTAAATTACTTTAAATTACTACAATAATTATTTTAAAAAATCGATTTCTTCGGAACTGGCTGGAATGGTCGGTATCGTTTTTTTTTCGCTCAAGAACAGTCTGTAAAAAGCGCATCAAAATCTCCGTCACCTGGTATTCCCCTTGTGTAACAAAAATATAAAATATAAAATAATGAATGAGTAATGTAGTCAGAAATTTAATAAGTTACATTATACAGGAGCTATATCCCATACAGCACATTAACGTTGAATATCTCAGAAACATTGAATTGCAATATTGCGAACATTGCAGCAACATTGCGGAATGCAAGTTCAATGTTGAAGAGACGTTACAGAAACATTTAATGTTGAATTGCAATGTCTATAAGAAACAATTTTTTGCATATTAATTTATAATAGTTTTATTGTTAAAATAAGTATTGTGTGTGATTGACATTATATTCCGGAACATACAACAACATTACAATACATTATAACTGAAAAAAAACGCTTTTCTTCTCATTTGAAAATTAATTTCCTTATATATTTATCAGCGGTCATCTATCTAATCTTGTACTTCATCCAACGGTGCTGAACCTCTGCAATTGTACAGGAATTGCTTCGATGATTCATGAACATTGAGTGTAAGTATATAACTGTGACAGGATGATTCAAAATAAACATATGCCCTTGAAATGTGAGTCATGCTCCTAACTTAATTCCAAGATTTTTCCTTTTGTCAAAATTTAGTCAGAAACTTAGTTTTCAAACTAAGTTTAAGAGGAATAATTAGCGACACTTAGAGAAAATAACTAAGGGCGGAGAAATTCACATCGAAGACGTGCAAAAGAGGGAGATTCTCGTTATGATCAAATGACCACGCATGTGAGAGCATGCATATGCAATTGCATTTACTTTCTCTCTCCCTCTCCCCTCCCTCCCTCCTCATCCCTCCCCTTCCTCTCTCCTCTCTCTCAGCACACACACACACACACACACACACACACACACACACACACACACACACACACACACACAAACACACACACACACAGACACACAACGCACGCATGCACAAATTTACCTTGTAAAAATTCGATAACTTCATTTGCTGCTTGAAATTAAAAAAAACTTACATTTCGAATCACGTACAATTTCAAATGACAATATTTATGTTAATTAAACTTCCTTTTGCAAACTAATTTACATACATATTCTCACTGACACAGAATGCACACTGATTGAATAATTAATCAATACTTCATGTAGATTCCATATAAAACGTATCATTTCGAAATGTTTACGCACAATTGACATACAAATTATTCATTTGCTTGAAAAAATTTATTAACGTATCTCTATCAGTTAAGTATCTGTTTTATTATAATGTATGGTTCATAATTATTATCAATTAGTCATAGGTAACCGAAAATTAGAAGAAAGAAAAAAACAAATAACGCATCAATGATAGCATGCAATTGACTGATTTTAATAGTGAATCTTAGTTGTTACTATGAATAACTGCCAATTAATTATACGATTACAAATCACTCAAAGAAAGAAGCACACGATTTATTAACACACAATACGCTACTCAACGATAGCATAATCAACAATGTCGATCGATGTATATTGTTGATTATGTTTCTATTATCGCTGACGAAACATGGACATGAGATTAGATAGTTAAACTCTCACACCGCGGCAAATTGAAACAGAGTGCATTGCACTTAATGTTACGAATACCTCGAAGCGTGATTGATTGATTAATGACAAAAAATGTATGTTTCGAAGTATTGATAGCGTCAAGTGAAGCTATAATCACAAAGAAAAAATCAATTGCATACGACATTACATAAAATGTAAGAAATATTGATTTATTTTGAAAGAAATTAATATCAGAAAATCATGTTATGTTATATGATATCGATTTTTCTTCCAAACGCGAGTTAAGGCTCCTTACATTTCATGTAATGTCATACGCAATTTTTCTTTCTATATCATTATAAATCTTTTTCAAAACAAATTAATATTTCTTACACAATTCTCTTCTTCTTTTGATTTTTTCTATGTAATAGGGGTATTCCATGTAAGAAAATTTTGATCGCCATAAATAGGCGGATTAATTTTAATGAATGAAATAAGTTTTATAAAAAATGCTCGAAATCTCCACCATCCATTTTAACACAAGTTCTCATGCGTCTTAATAAATTTCTTTACACATTTTCCATCATATCTTCTTCGATGATATGGCATACCGCAATCTCGAGATCTTCTATGTCTTCGGGAAGCGATTAATAAATTAATTCCTTACAATATCTTCAAAAAAAGAAATCCAAAGGATTGAGATCTGGAGATCTTGCGGATCAATGTATTAGGTCATATCGATCCATTCATCGTCTAGGAAATTGTTGATTTAAATAATCCGTCATAATTCTAGCTTGGCACCGTCTTCCTGAAATACAATCTTGTATTTCTCTCTCTCTCGAATAATAAAATTTCTTCTAAAAATTCTGGTAAATTGTCCCTTAAAAGTTTCAAATATATTTCTCTATTTAAAATAATCTGGAAGAACAACTAGACCTAGTATCTGAATTCCCATAATTCCTGTACATTCATCTTTCAACGAATTTGGAAGTTTCTGTTTCGCGTAAGTCTGGGATTTTCATCGCTTTATAAGTGCATGTTATAATTAAATATTCCTTCTTGCGTAAATGAAGTCATCGAATTTCTATAAGATAAATTTGTGCGTGCGTGCGTGCGTGCGTGCGTGCGTCTGTGTGTGCGTGTGTGCGTGCGTGTGTGTGTGTGCGTGTGTGTGTGTGCATGGGCGTGCGTGCGTGCGCGCGCGCGCGCGCGCGTGTGTGTGTGTGTGTCAGAGAGAGAGAGAGAGAGAGAGAGAGAGAGAGAGAGAGGGGGGGGGGGGGTAAACGATCACATGTGCATGCTCACATATGTGTAGCGGTCGTCTGATCGCAACGAGGATCCCCCGTTTTGCGTTCGACGTGTTTCGTCACTCTTGGCTATCTTCTCTAAGTGTT